GAACTAGAAATTTATTCAATGAATATTTTATAACAATACAAATATTGTTTTATTTGATGAGATTAGTGCATCGTAATTACTAATTTGATGTGGAATAATTTCATTAATTAATCTTTTTCAGTAACTGTTAAATCATTTTGTTTAAAAAGTCACGTTCACATTTAAACTTGATCTACTTTTTCTTGTTTAATAAACTAGATAGTTTATTTTTTCAATCAACGAATTTCCCCCCTAAACGTTAGTATATATTTATTCATATATATATAATACTTGGAAACTGTTCGAAGTACATAGATATGAACTACAATATCATGACGTTATAAATTGTTAAATTTTAGGCAATATTGATCATGTAAACATATTGATACTTATTCTGTTTCATTTTGAATTTATCTCAAAACAGAAAGTTAACCTAATCCATCAGTTCAGTTGAATTCTGTCGTACTATTAATCTTTGTGTCGTTTTTAAATAAGCAACTGGTATTCAGTTTCTGGGTTGACTTTTTAAGGGAAATTAGTAATTTGTACTTATTGCTCACATTTTCTAGTGTTTTAATTTGAGTAATATAAACAGTTTAACCATTTGATGCCAGTTGAATACTACAAACATGTGACTGAATTTAAAGTTATGAAATAAAAACAAACTAGTAAACAATGTAATCTGTATTTTTCTATTTTTCAGTAATAACCGTAAATATCTTAAGTGAAAAATAGGATTTCAATGAATTTCATCCTCATTTGATATTCATTTATTTTGAATATTTATTTATCTTAATGTAATTTTCACTACGGATAGGTAACTGCTGATAAACATCTAAAAATTTGAAAAAGGTGGATGGGCAAATTTTTCTTGATAAAAACTGATTAGCGATAGGTGACGACGATTTACTTAGGCTTCAGAATTCCTCGCAAGTGTGATATTTTCATATCATTATGCCGAATTATTTCGGTTTATGTAATATTATTAACAGATCGATATGATCGGATACTATTTTTACATATCCGATTGCTTTCATTGTAACATTAACCTTCTTTATAGGTAACCTTAAAATATAATTATTTCTACTACAAATATTTAAAGCTGAACTAAATGGATGTGTTTATTTAGTTATTGAAGTTTGTTGGCAGATGTTTGGCCTACATTTGAGCTGAGGAATTACTGATCGTTGAATCATATTAACAAAACGTATGAACTATTTCTATGAGTTAATATATTATTTTCTTGCTTCTATCATCTGTTGTAATTCAATACACATTCGTTTTCATTATGTTTGATAAAGTAAGTAAACTGTGGTCATTAATAGATGATATATTTCAAAAAAAGGCTAAACAAATAATGTTACAGATCATATTAGGTCATATTTGTCCACTGTTAATTCATTTGACCTATAAATATTCTCATTCTATCATCACTTATGCTTTTAATGTTATTTAGATATAGTTTTGTTCGTGTGTGCTATTATAACTTTGCTTCCTGATATCTAATTATTTTGAGATTTGTGTAGCTATAATTTGATTTACTAAGTAATTTCCACTTAACCACTTAAAATCAGTACAAATAACCCATTGTATATTCACAAACTCACGTGCGTTACCTTCCTATAGCAACGATAAACATAATGAATTAATTAGATTTCGCTCTATTCTCATAAACAATTGTTCGCTTTAATAAAATGATCTAACCTATTCAATAATGCCAAGACAGGTACATTGAATAATAAAACAACCAAAATGATCATTAAGATTTTCGAAATCTGGTATGAAAACATAATCAATTAGTCGCAATTTGATTGTCTACATAGCGATAGAAAATTGTAAAGTACCTTGAGGATAAATTCAATAAAAATGTACATTTATGGTTACATTTTGTGGAATAACATTTACTATAGTGTCTCATTAATTTTAACATTTTAGTGCAATATCAATCTGATAAAAATGTGAAAGAAGGTTGTTGTTCTATTTTAGGCGGTTTCTTTCCATTTTAGTCGAACTATGATCTCTCATTGTTGTTTATTCTATTTGTTTCTTGTAATGTACTTATCATTTATCCTAACCATTAAACTTTTCATTTACTGAATGTAGGTGCTCTATAATGTAAGACTACGGAACCAAACAAATAGATTATTATTTATAATATCTATCTTGGTTTTATGAATACATTTTATTGTTTTCTCGATTATTATTTTTCATCAGAAAAAGAACACATTAAACGATCAGTGGTAAACATTGAAATGTTTATTTAAGAAGATAAGCAAATGTTTCATTTGATTGGCTTTAATACCTGTCCAACTTTAATCAATAAGGTCCCTAATATTTTTAATGTATCAAATTCAATCCTAAGTGTGTAGATTGTTTTTTTAACTTTGATAGGTTGTATAAACAATTTAAGTACCTTAATGGACAGATAAACACAAAACCGGTTCACTTAAAACGACAGTACATTTTGGAGAGTTTTAAAACAAAGACGACATTATATATATTTGCATTTACATAGTAAACAAAGTGATATCCCTTTTTAACATTCATTAAAAATGAAAATTCAGACATTTATCAACAAGTTAATAAGCAAATTTACATATCAAAAGTGTATACCAATTGAAATGTCTCTTAAAGTACTACTTGAGACATTGAAAACAGAAAAATGTTTTCATTGTTTTAAATTTTCGCTTATTTTTCAAAAAATATTTTTAAAAAATTTTCTATAAGTTGTTCTTGAAGCATCTTGATATATCTGGTCGCCAGTTAATATTTTATAGTTTTGTCGGATATATTTTCAATAAAATAATGCTTTCATTCAATCTTTTTGACGGTTTTGATGAGAAAATGTCTAATGAGTTATTTTTAATAAACTAATTTTCTCGACAAAATACAAATTTTGATTGATTTCTTAGATGTTTCTAGCTGAAATATAATGAGGGAAAGAATGAAGTTAAAAACCAAAAAATCAGTACAGAACTATATTTTCCAAAACTTCATAATCTGGCTTTACGACTATGTATCTGTTTTCTGTATCTGTGAAGGATAAGCTCTGGTCTTTTCCATATGCGTCAGCTATCTCACTTGCCGTTGAAGGACATAATCAAAGCATGCTTCCATAACGGACGAGGGTGCATATTCCAGTATGATTCGACAAGGGCATGAGGAAAGAGGTTATGAGTCACATGACAAACCCACGTGTTGGTTTTAAGATCGCTCGTAAAATAAACCCATATCTAAGAAGGTGGCTCCCTATCCAACGTCTTTAAACAGCTGAAACTCTTGGTAATCATGAGATAAATCAAGAATGTTTTATACTAAATCAAACTGTCATATCCTCATCTTTACCGTACCCTTAACCTACATGTCTTTAAAAATTTACCGTATTCACATGATGTCTCTCGTAATTTTTCTTGATATCGTCGTATTTAATTTCTCTGAAATTTTAGATTGTTGTGATAAAAAGCACTTTATTCATCGTACTTTATTGACATAATAATCCAATATCGGATCATCAATATTCGACTTCCTTTGTAATTTGTACATCCCACAGCAGATACATAAACTTTCATAATTATTTGCATTATGCAGTCTGGTATTTAAATCGTTCTATAGCATAGTCTAATTTTTTTCATTGTTTATAAACCGTTAAAAAGTTAGCAATACGATAAAACCTACGACATTTACGACACCCAATAATGAAAATTCAATTTTTCAAACGAAAAGTTTACTCGTTCACTTAAATTACCATACGAATTACTTACAGAAATAATAGAATTTAATTTTCGTTTTCGTAAAAGGCTTAACATACTTTATGTAATTTTCTCTTAAAATATGAGATATATTAGAGTAATGGGATCTATTAACAATTTTTGATACATAAACTAACTGTTATATTTGGTAAGAATTACTTCACTGAGTTCATGTGATTCGTATAAAATAAAGATTATGGAGTGAAATGGTTTGCGAGTAACTATACGGATGTTAAACATATTAGCGCTTGTGATTTTCTAATCAAACAAATTTCTATACCCTTAAAATGGCTTAACTAAAATATTATCAATATTATTTATCTTTTTATGATTAGCTTACAAATTAGCTTTTCGTTGCACAATGTTTCGTGCATTAACGGTATTATAAACGTTTTCAATTATCTTATTACATTCAAAATCAATATGCCTTTTTGACACATGACATACATTTGTATTGAAGTTATTGTCCCACTTTATGGAATTTGTCTTTGACAATTAAATTATATCATATGATGAAATGTTAGCACACATTCCTTATTTATCGTACACTATAGTACTGTAATCGTTTATTAATTAACTCAATTCATTAAAATAATTCAAGAAACAATGAAGATGAAGTTGTAGATCATAAACTATTTCGATAATTTGTACATATCTTTTACTATTTGTGGTATGAATAAATTTTTCGCAACTGATGTCAATCATTTAAATAACTTTTTTAGTGTTTAGTTTTTCTATACAAATCAAAATATTGACATAGTGAGATGAATATTTTGTGTATCATGACGCTTTCATGATGAAACGCTTTAATCTATCAGTTAATATGGTATTATCACACTAACGTTCAAAGATTGAAACTATGTTTACCAATTATGCGATTCATAGGGAGAAAATAACTTTTTTTTCAAGTAGTTTCGTGTTTATGATCTTATGATTATTGGTTAGATACCGTTTATTTAAAAATTTATTTTTGATTCATGACCAGGGAAATATTGTTGTCGATTCATAGTATAAGAACTGAAATGCTTTGAAAATTATATAAACAACCATACTTTTTGTAATAAGATGAAAATGGTTATGCCGTTCGATAAAAGACGTTGATTGTCAATGAGCGAATCAACATTAAATTAAAATTTTGGTAATTAATTGAGATTAAACAAACAAAAATATTTGCTTTAAAGTCATATGTAGCACATTTATTAAATATTTAAATGAGATTTTTGAAATATATTCTATCGGTAATTTCCTTTGAATTTTTTTTTTTAAAAATAGGGGTATCATTCGTATTCGAGTAATGGATGATAATAATTATGAGAAATCAGAATATTTCTATATACAACTTGGTGAACCAGTTCTTATTGACAAAGATGGTAAGATTGTATGTTTACTAACTTTTTATTAAATTACTCAGTTACTGAAATTTTGTGAGGTTTATTAAATCATAATCAGTATGTTAAACAGATTGTTTTCACTTTATACTTTATTTAATGGATTAAAATAACATAAAGATTTCATTAACCTTCAAATATCAAAATGTTAAGTTGTGATGTCGAATATTGAAAACTGACATATTTGCTTATCGATAGGTTTTACAATTCTAGGTTTTCTTTGTAAATAGATCATGTTTGAAGTTCTCTTGAAAGTTCTATAATTGACATATAATGATAATGGAATCAATTGAAAAATGTCTGGTATTACAACTTGATATTCCTTCTTATTGTGATGTTAAAGAACATTTTCAAACTTGATTTTTCAATTATTTAAGTATTACTATTTCATGTTTGTGTTGTCAATACTAGTGCTAGTTTACCAATTTCTTTAAAATAGATTTTTATTGAACAGTGGTTGGCCAAAATTCTATTTTACAGTTAACAATTCAGTTGTTAACTTTAAAAAGAACTTCAAACCTGTTTGTCAGTGATAACGGTGAAAGTGAGATTTAAACATCAGTAATCATGGTTTTTAATTAACTAACGAATACTACTGAATATATTTTAACTTTAGTGCTTAGTTAGCAGTTCATGTAGAATTCGTTTAGAAATGATATAAGAGGTTTCAATGATACCTATAACTATAAACATTTATAAATCAAAGTATATTTGTTTCAAAGATCTTTCCAACTCAAAAGAATCACTTTTTCTGATTGTATTATATTCTGTTTTGTTCTTGTTTTTTTCTTGTCTATTAACTTTTTAATGACTCATTCACAAATAACAAAATCAACAAATGTACATCCGTTTGCGTTTTTTAACGGAGTTCTTTACAAAAATTAAACAGAAATTCACTTCCGTTTCCCGGTAATCAACAGACTGATGAAAAATTGAATTCAATGTTATCTCAGTATTAATCATTTATTGTAACGTTTGAATATTTATGTAAATGGTATACCAAGAATCACTGTTTAATTATTTTGTAATTCTTTAATTTAAATAAGTGTTTAAATAATTGTCATCAATATTGCTTAATCATATTTGGTTTAATCAGGCAAAACTAACGAGATAATATGAGCTCTTTCATTTTGTGTTTTCTATGTAAATGCTTACATTTGAGAAACAATGGTATTAACCATTTCAAACCAACGTGCCCACGTTATACCAGATTAATGGAGATTAGTAAAAGAAAGCAGTAAATATTGAAGAAATATGAAAATGAACTATTGGTTGAATAACTAAATGGTATCTAGTGTGAAATCATAAAACATTTTATTGTGCTATTGGAGTTTGTCAGCTTAGTGTGACATTCATGAATGAATTCTTTTTCGATGTATACGATGAAATGCCATCGCTGAAATAAGACATGTTTAAACGTATTTGAATGGTGTTTATTTTGAACGAACCATTTGTATTGGTTATTTGAATCTTCCTTTTGATCTTTATGATTGAAATTGGCCTGTCACTTTTTGGCACATTTAAATTCTGTACGGTTTGGTGTGATATTCCTTCACTTCATAAGGATTATATGCAGAGAAAAATGGTGATTAGCAGTAGAATCCAGGACACGTGTTTCGTCTTATTCTGGGCCTCTTAGCTAGATTTATATTGTGATAAAACAGCTATCCGGTAGCACATTCTGGTCTTCAATGCTCATCTAGCTGAAGCCAGTACATGACGTAGATTAACATTTGAACTATCACCTCGAACGTTCTAAATTAACAACAACATAAGAGTTTAATTTGTTTGTGTCAGTTATTTGAATCATCCCACTGATGTTAGGAATTATGATTAATTAGTCTCTAATCACATTCCATCTCTGCTCGTAACGCTTGTAACTTGATTCTGGAATTGTGATAATCTTCATAGAATGCACATATTTCAAATAGAGAATGAGATAAACCCACTCAATCATTTTTATAGAACGTTTAGTTTGAATGAAACAAAACGAAGTATTAATAGAAATTGAGATCCATTTAAAGTATTTGTATAAGACAGTTGATGTATTTACATGTAATAAATTATTGTACTCACCAGTACAACACGGAATAACCTACAAACATGACATTGTTCTCGATATCTTTATACAAAAGGATACTTACTTCAAGAAGTATATTTTCATCTCACGTCTGCATTTACTACTTGTAAAATATCAAAATCACAGTAAGCTCATGAAAATTATGGGAAAAAATCTATTCGTGAACATAGAAACATAATCTTGTTATCTACAGTGCTTTTACTTTGTACGACTTGTGTAAGTTCTGTGAATTCATATCATCAACACCCAAGCAACATTAAACCTCATATGATTAATTCTATAAGAAATCAAGTACGTAATCTAGTACATGGGAAACAAGTTTCTTTATGATATCTTTATCTCATTTAATCACATATTTGTTAATAATCGATTACCTCCACTGGTTTTAATTCCCATGTGTATCTATAAGTTTGTGGAAAACATACCCAATACCAATTGATACTAATACAATTACTACATTGAAAAGACTGCTTTTACATCACATTTCATGTAAATAAATGAAATTATAGACGGCTAGTTGTTTAAGAATCCTTAATATATATTTCAGGAACATAAATGTTGAGTGTAATTTTTATGCTGTTTTTACTGTCTTTAAAATAAACCCCTTCTCGAAATGTTTTCCGTACTATTGGATGATTAATATTATGATACATAATGCTATATTTATATATATTTGTTATTCATGAGTACGTTCGTATGACACTCGTTTTAAACTCAGAGTAATCACATCTTCATGGACTTGGTAAATATTTATAGAGTATCACAAAATATATAATCTTTGAGTAAACACATTTTCGAAAATGGGAGAATTTCGCCAAAAGACAAGCTTCCACTCGAGAGTAAGCACATTACTTAATGAAAGATCTTGCACTACTGTGAAAATTTTAGTATATACAATACTTAACTTGAAACCATATTCATAACTACGTTAAATATGTATTGATCTTAATTAATCAAATTGAATTGTTAAATTATGATGAAGATTATTACATTTCTACGATGAACATGAAATTTCTTATCTGGTTTTACTTAATCCAAACATATTTTTGATAGAACCCATTAAACTGAAATTTTGGTTTATGTAACTATTTAGAAGTTCAAGCTATTCTTGTAGAAAATGTAAACAATATTAAATAAAGTTTTGCATTTTAATCACTTTTTAAATAAATAAAAACTTGTACCAAACCTTTTCTTACTTGTAATCAGATAATGATATTTTACTGTGATCAGTATGAACTCCTATGATCTTCTTCAAAACTATCAGTCTTCACTAGACTTTTTTTTCATTTTCCACTTTTTATATATGTCAATTAAAAAAAACAACCGTGTTATACGTTTTGATACCATTTTTAACCCATAACGTTTCTGCTATCATGTGACAGTGTTATCGAATTGACATCCACTTTTCTTCAAAACAAGATGGTATATTCATTAGTTGCTTAAATTTATGATCTTTTTAGTAGATCAATGAAAGTCATATATTTTCCACTTGAGGATTATGAGAATAATTGTTTTTTTACATTATATTTTTGATTATAGATGGCGACTTTTATTGATTTTATCTCATTCATCTTTGACAAGTCATTTAATCCTCAATAATAAATTAGCTTTAAAAATAAAACACAAGTCATTATAATTTTGTTTTCCAATCTTATTTACAAGGCTTAAATCTATGATTGAAAAACAATATGCACTCAGCAATATAATTAAAGTAGTTTGCTACATAAAAAAAATGGAACTGTTATCAGTATTTAAATGGTGAAGTGAAAATTTCTCACAATTTAAATACATCTATAATCATTAAACATTTATTATGTAAACCTTTCATTTTCTGCTAAATATTCATAGACCAGTGATTGTTAAAAGAAAAACCTTAGTTATGGTGATACAACTTTCTCTGTCTACTAACATCTTTAGAATTTCAGATTAAATTCATTCAATTTAACAACAGTTATGTCATTTAAAATACTATGGAATCCGCTACAAAAACGTTCATAGACTAAACGCTTTCATATCAAACGAAATAATAATGAACACGTTCCATTTATTGACTTATAAATATAATTTTAAACGATTATAATAATATAATTTATACTTAAATTTAGAAATAGCAGTTGTACGATCCATGGATAAATTCCGTCGAGCTCGTGAAAGAATCAAAGGTTAGTAGTTAAAACATTGGGCGTTTACAACAGTGCTGATTAGGTTAAGCGCTAAGTAATTACCGCTTTTTTTCTTTATACTTACTATGCCTTTTCATCTATAAAAAAACTAATCACATTCGTTAAAAATAATCTTTTATATCACAATGATCTAACAAAAATTTTGGTGAAGTGACTAAATTAAAACGATAATTTATCTTGTGTATTTAGTTTTGTGTCTTTATAATCACATTCAATTTGTTTCATCTAACATGAGTGCATTTGGCTTTTAGTTTTTTTTCGCGCACTATTTTATTTAACCACTCAATAGTTTTTATTAAAAAAAGACTAACTTATTGTTAAAAACAAAACAAATCGCACTTCATTTTATTTGAATGGGTACATATTTAAATTAAACTTTATTATCAGATATTGGATTCCTTCATAGTGATCAATACAAAATACATGATCATATCTTTCATAGTAATCTGTTTGTAAATACACTTATCAACAGATTTATATGTACCGATAAAACTATATCCTTTTCCTAGTGGTTAATTTAAAAAAAGTATGACTGATATTTTGAAAACACCATTTCAATCATTGTACACAATATCTAACGGTTTATTGATGTGTGGATAGTTAGATGATTGAAAACGTAATGAGAACTTTCATCATTACTAATCTTCATTTATGCAGTTTTTAAACAAGGCAAGTTGAATTATTAAACCTAACATGTAAGTTCCATTTATAAAATGATG